TTAAGACTTCTGAAAGCAAGCTCCACACCTCGTCCCTCTCAGATTTTGGATGGCACTTCAGATTCTTAAACCTTGGGTCAAGTTCTGTAGCTATCTTTAGAAATCTCACATTGGTACCTTCTTTGCGTTTTGTCAGATCTGCAGTGAAAATGTTCTTAAAATGAACAACATGTGCTGGGTCATCATCCGAGACTGCTATAACAGGAAATATATGGCAGAATGCAGGTAAAACAGAGTAGGGGACATACAATTATCCTCCAAGGAGTCCAATCAAAAATGTAATTAACAAATTTTTTTAATGAGCGTTATGTCCTCTGCAACGGTGGCCGAAGCATGAAGAGGCATACGAATGTTTAGCTTATCTGGCACGTAAATACCTTGCAATGCCGGCTACAAAAGTGCCATGCAAATGCCTGTTCTCACTTTCATGTGACGTAAATAAGAAGAGGGCAGCATTATCTCCCTTAAATGTAAACAAACTTGTTTGTCTTAGCGATTGGCTGAACAAGAAGTAGGACTGAGTGGACTTTTAGGCTCTGAAGTTTTACATTGTTTTGGTTTTGAGTGCAATCATGTAACAAAAAAAAAAAATCTAAATTTTTAAGTTGCACTTTCATGACAAAGATTGCACTATAGTACTTGTATGAGGTGAATTAAACAAAAGAAATAGTATTTTTCATCATTTTTACAGTCCAAATATTTGTAATAAAAATAATATACACTTTGATTTCAATTACAACACAATACAATATGTATGAAAATGTAGAAAAACAAAATATTTAATAAATTTCAATTGTTATTCTATTATTTAACAGTGCAATTAAAACTGTGATTAATCGTGATTAATTCTTTTAATCACGACTAATTTTTTTTTTAGTTAATCGCATGAGTTAACTCCTATTAATTGAGGGCCCTAGTTTCTTTGCAACATTCCTCTATACAAAGCCTAACTCACTTAGACAGGCACTATGATGTAATTGCCTGTCTTTTACTCTCAGTCCCATAAAAGACAAACAGCCTCTGTGATTTCCTGAATTCCTTGAACCTAGTCAAATAGAAAGCAAATGCTTTCTTGGCATCTGAGATCATAACTTTCACTCCCCTGGATGAGAGCGAGGGTTTAGGAAAAAATACTGGTAAGTTAATGGACTGGTTAAAATGGAGTTCTATTACCACCTTAGGGAAGAATTTAGGGTGTGGGTGAATTACCACTTCCTTGGTTGTTTTATTGGAAAGGTGAAATAAGGAACATTATCCCAAAGTTTCAAAGAGAGGTTTCATAAACTGAGTAAACATTAGGTTGAGATTTTATGTTGGTGTATGTTCTTTGATCAGAGAGTAAGAATTTATTAGCTCCTTCATGGATCTTTTTCTGGTGTTATGACTAAATACAGTGTTATTGCCAAGCAATATTGTTATTGATGAGCAGAGACTGCTGCAAGAAGCACTAACACAGATGACAGAGAAAGCCCTACGGATTTTAAGGGAAGTAGGCACTCCACACAGATTGAATAGGAGCTGAAGGTGGGTTTATGTTATTGTTATTAGCCCTCAGTGAAAACTTAAGATCATAATACCTGTGGGCTGACTGTGTCTTGGAGTTTAAAAGAGTCTCCTGATTTTTTTTTCTGAGCAGGACATTTTCAGGTCTGTCAGAGTCCTACAGCCTATACTGCCAAGTGAAGACAGTGTGGGTCTGGGTGGTAAATTGGACTCGGTTGTGTCAACAGACCTGTAGTTCCCAAACTCCTTGTGATAGCTGTAGAATGCTGGAGGCAATCAAAATAATCTTGGCCTTGATTTATTTTCTTGATAACTCTCCGAACAAAAAATGATGACAGATCTCCTTAGTGTGTTCCCCAGTCTAGTAGAAATGCATCCAATATGGAACTAGTGGTCTGCTCTTGCTCTTGAGGAAAACCTTTGACTTTTGGAGCTGTCTTGTTCTGAATAGGTCTCTCTCTCTGGATATTCATAGATTCATAGATTCTAGGACTGGAAGGGACCTCGAGAGGTCATCGAGTCCAGTCCCCTGCCCGGGATATAGAGTCTCTCTATATCCTCATAGAGAGAAGATTTTGTTTGCCACTGAGTTCTTGAGTGACCCATAGTGCTAATCATTGGAGAGAGGATTGATCCCGGATTAACTTCACAGGTAAGGGCTTTACAGGCAGGCATAGCAGCAGCCTATTATGAGCCTCTCAACACATCCCCATAACCTCTGCTAAATCTGTATAGCGAGACAGCACAATCCCATGATCAATGGCTGCAAATATCTCATAGATCCAGCTGTGTGAATACTGGCATATGCCCCTTGTCCGCAGACAAGAAGTCATCCATCAGGTTTCTCCTTCCCAAAAACACACTGACAGAAACAAGAGTTTTCCATTGCTGGCAGCAGCATGAGAAGGTGCTTGGATCGACAGGGGAGTCTTTGAAAAACCATCTATTCCTCTCTACTATCCCTTAGCAGCAATGGCAGCTACAGTTATTTCCCACCACCATCATCAGTGGGAGAATGGACCGATAAGTAAGCTTTAAGTGTTACTCTTCCATCCAATGGAGCATGGAATTTTTTTGTTTTTTTACAGGCAATGCCACCACAATGCGTGGGTGGGGGTGAGGGCTGCAAAATCTCTCAAAACTGCTACTAGCAGAGAGAAGAGCTTTTTCCTCCCTCTGTTTGGTGACAAGACCAAGATCCCCCATCTTCATGTTAGTTATGTAATTCAAAACCTAAAGTATCTCTATGACCCCTTTCTGCACTAAAAGGAGGTGATTTGCAAGCTCTGACTCCTCCCACATCATAACACCAACAATGCTGGGGAATGTCAAACAAACCTCTCTCATCCAAGGCATCTGGTTCAGCAGTAGACCAACACTTAATAAATCCATTACACATCAGCTTGCCTTCCTACTCATAGATGGATCTGGAGTTCTCATTTAGAGCTAATGCAAAGGCACATACCAACACAGTCTGATTCTGCTCTCAGACCAGTTTTAGAGTTAGAGTTATGCCCACTTCAGTGGTATAACTCTAATGTCTTTACAATGAGGTCAGAGCACAATCAAGCCCCAGGAGCTTCAGTTTATGCAGTTCAATGTCAGTGGGCAGAGGAATTCTGTCATTCATAATCTGGTTACCAATAAGAGATCCATGTTCTAGTCTGCACCATCAAATCTGGCTACATGACGCCACAGTGCCAGCTCATCTCTTTCACTGTAGACTACTTGACAAATCACAATCCCAGACCCTGAGAGGTAAGCACGGAAGCAGGGTAGCCACCCTATTTCCATCACAACACAAATGCAAAAAAACCCCTCAAATCCTTTGAACGCAATATCATGCTCATATCCCTACTAAGTCCACGACCCTGGACATCCTCTTCTCTACTTCCCAACATTTCAGAGACCTGCTGACCTTTCCCTAGTGCCCCTTCACATCTTCATTCACACATCCCTGCCCTCCAAGCACTTGGCCACTCTCCTGTTTTTCATAGTACTGCTTTCTAGTGTTGAAAGAACCAAGCAGATAGTAAATGAGGCTATGTGGGAGACAGGGACAGAATGTGGATGTGCAGGGCAAAAGGAAGCAAGGTTCCTAGGGGCAAAAGGGTTGTTTGCAGAGAAGAGGGCTATATTAGGGAAATCAGTGCTATTCAAAGAGGTGGGGGGATCCCAGACCCTGAGTCCCAGTGCCTGTGTCTTTTAAGGGCTCCCTCTACTTTCCTACCTTAGCTTCCCCAGCAGAGATCCCTCAGTCAAGCTGAGGCAACATTGCCATGAGCAGCCTTTCAAGCACCATGTCTTGGCATCGAAGGCCTGAGAGCCCACCTCAGACACCTGCCCAGTTCACAGCATTGCTCTCCCTAACCCAGGCCCCTCTGCACATAACCCGTCCTCCATAAGACCCATGCACATGTCTGGTCTTCTCCCTCTATTCCAACATTACCACTAAATTCCTCTGTCCACCTTACCCATGCAGAAACCTCGGATTCCCCTTCCCCTTGTCATCTCCAACCAACTTCCTATCATTCCCACATATTTCTGTTCACACACCTCCAGACAGCCCCACTCTCACCCACCCACTGTTCCCTTTTTGCCCAATCTGTCCCAAGGCTTTCATAGACAACCAAAATGTTAAAGTTGAACAACATATGTTTCTTTATGACTAAAACAGTTAAATTCCACAGTTTCATATCCGGGAAGCTTACTTGGCAAGTTTACATGTTTTTTTAACAATTAATTACAATGTTAAAATATTATCTTGTCTTACATAAATAAACCAAGCAATCATTTGTAAAATAAGGAACAAATTCACCAGTATGCTTCAGCTGCTTTGCACTATCTGTGAAGCAGCCATAAATCCATTTTTAACTGGCCATTGTAAATTGATTGATTTGCACTGCTCCCAAGTAGCACAAAGCTGCCAGAACCTGCTGGTTTATCTGGCTCTAACAATAATTTAAAGCCCCCCAAAATTCCCAAATAAAAACATTGTTAAATTGGAATTAAGATGGAGACTACACATCAGTAATTTAAGGAGAAAAACCACTACAATAATGGTTGTAATTGTAGCTAAAACAAGAATTACAAATCCAGGAAATTCAGAGTTAAGATTAACCTTAAAAGACATCCAAAATGTTAAGGCATGTAAATGTACAGTGAAGGCACCCAATTAACTTTTTTGCTCTGTACAACATAAAATAACCATATGGTTATTATTATTAAGGCATTTCAGTCTTTGTGGTCCCACCTTAGCTGAAACTGCATTTTAACACTGAATTCACTTTTTTCATTTTTTTCCCTCCCCTATGGTGTTACTTAGGACCAAATTAAGGTTGTCTGGGAGACACCTAAATTCTCTTCCTTAACCTCAAAGATTATAATGGTTTTAGTTTAGTTTTGGAGGGACCTAGAATGTTACACCACAAGAAAATCAACATACTTTTTTAATTAAATTTGGCAAATAAGGCCTTCTACAGTGCTCATTCTCTTACCGGTATCTATGAACAAATATACCCTTAAAAATAGAGTTCATCATATTTTCAATTTCATCTTGGTTTTCTTGCAGCTGCAAAAAAGAAATAAAAGATCACTAATATTTCAGACTGGCATCCTGATAATTTATAGTACTAGCATCCTGAAACATTATACTACTAGCTTTGAGAAGTATGCTTCATTCAAAGGTATTATAATTAGCATTTCTCTTCCTCCCAATAGGCATAAATAAAAACATTTTATACATATATAGTGCTTTCATGGAAGGAAGTTAATACATCCTACAAACATTCATGAATTTAGATTGAGAAACAGCCCTTTGACTAAGTATGATCCCCCTTCTTTGCAAAGGAAATTGAGGCAAGGAGAAATTAAGTGCCCAATTCTGCTGACCACCATCAATCTTCATTTAAGTAAGTGGATTTGCAAGTGCTCAGCATCTCTGGAAATCAGGCCACTTACGGGGCCTAATTATGAATTTAGAAGAGTAAATTTTTCAAACTTGTGGCCCCAATTCAGGAAAGCATTAAAGCATCTGCTTGGCTTTAAGTATGTGCTTAACTCCCGCACATGCTTAATGTTAAGCATATGCTTAACTGCTTTACTGAATAGGGAAACTTTCTAGAATCAGTACCAAGTGCTTAAAGTTGGGGCTAGTCCTCTGATACCCAGTCTTGTGCCCTAAAGTGAAGATCTACTATAAAAACAGACCCTCTAAAAAAATGGCATAATGGGGATTCACATTTATTCTCCCTGATTGATTTCTGTATCAAATATGCTGATTTTACAAGTAAAATAATTTCTTTTCTGAGTTCCTGTTCTGAAAACTCATCCTTGGAAAGAGTTCAAATGAATTATTGACATCTTGCATGTCATCACTAGTACTATGAAATCTACTGACAAATTATGTCTTCCACTTACACCTGTATAACTCTGGTGTTTCCAATTGGGATTTACAGGTGTAACTAACTGGAAATTAGTAAGTAACTCTACTGATCATGTGCAAAAGTGAATAGAATCCAGCTCACTCAGTTTCAGCTGTGTTGGCTTTGCATGACTTAGGGCTTGTCTTCATACAAAAACTATAGATAAAGTGGCACACCTCCCCTCCTCCCAAATGTCAACACAGTTATAATGGTATAAATATGATTATGTCAATACATCTTATTCCCATATGGAAAAGGGAATAAGCTACATTGGTATAAGCACATTTATACCAGTATAACTGCATCCACTCTGTATTGTTCTTGTATAACTACGACTAAAAAAGCATCCCCCAACTGATATAACTACACCAATACAAAATTTGTATGTAGACCAGGTATAACAGGAAAAAACAGTAAAACCTTACTTTTGTCACTAAAGTAAGTAAATATGACTCAGATTACACAAAAAGAACAGATCTGTTGAGAAAGGTGCCGTCCATTTTACATAATCTTTTTTCAAGGCATAACTGCCTTTACCACACAAAACCATAATTGATTCATCAAGGAGGGCATTAACTCTTCCTTTTTATCATTCACAGCATTTCTTAATATCGAAGTATAACACTACAAACTGCAGGAATGAAAATATTTCCCGTCCTCAATACAAGGCCACAATATAGGATTGCCAGTATAGATTGTACAGATATATATAATAATTAATATTTTTTTCATCAATTCAACATATGAAGGCCAGAAGGGAACATTATGATAATTTAGTCTGACCTCTTGCATAGCACAGACCAGATAATTTCAACAAGTGATTTCATTTATAATACTTATCATTTCTATAATACCTTCCATGTGAAGATCTCAATGCAATTTGTAAAAACGAATAGTTAAGCCTCACACTTTAGGGTTGCTAATTTTGGTTGGAGGTATTCATAGAAGTTTCATCACATGACAATCTTTAATTAAAGATTAATCTTTAATTCCTTGAGGCTCCAGGACAATCCCAGAGGGTTGGCAGCCCTACTTCTCTGAGAGGAGAGGAAGCATTATACACCACCTTACACATGGAAAAAACTGAGGTACCCAGGAGTTAAGGAGTTGATTTAGTTGGGGATTGGTCCTGCTTTGAGCAGGGGGTTGGACCAGATGACCTCCTGAGGTCCCTTCCACCCTTGATATTCTAGGATTCTATGAAGGGCTAAATTTTCAAAAAATTGCACACACAAATCCCCATAGGCACATTTATTCCACAGTCCAAGCAAGGGATAAGTGCAAAAGGGACAGTTGGGTACATACAGTCCCTGTACAATGCAAAAGGATGAGTATACACAAAAGGACAGGATTGTGGGCGTGGCTTCAAGGACAGGCAACATAGTATTTTCGGACTCAAGCCAATTTAGACACACAAATTAGAGGATTAAGCACATGAAGCCGCAAGGGCAAAGACTGAGCTAGTTTTTACTCAGTACTGCCTTTGCTGACCTCATATCCTATACAAAAGCAGCAGCAGCTGAGGCACAAGCCCCAGACAGACAGCCACATGAACAGACACATATGGCTGGAGTCATCCTAGATAAGGCAGAAGAAGAGAAGGACAATGAGGATAAAGATGGGCACAGAGCCTTGTCCACTCTGAGGAAGAACTAGAACCCAAGGAGGAATTCTGAAATGAACTGTTAATTTACGCAGAAATGAGGTAAGTATCTGTGATGGGGTGTCCACCCCACACAAGATTGGAAGGGGTTATTGCGCCTACCTAACTGCCCAGGCTGCACTTGAAGGAGGAGCCAGGGCACAGGGAATTGATTAGATAGGGAGGCTCAGCTAGACAGGAACCGAGGGACCTGCATAAAGCCCTGAAAGCAGAAGGGGGCTGCAGGGAAATAGGCTGCAGTAACTCCCTGGGAGAAGGGAATTGGGAGGCTGGCAAAACAGGGGGGAACCAGGAAGGTAGAAAAGGCCCAGGGGGAAAGCAGCAAGGTAGGACAATGCAGGTCTTAGCTGCTGACTGAAGGGCCCCTGAGCTGGAAGCCAGAGTAGAAGGCGGGCCCTGGTTCCCTTACCAGCTCCTGAGCACACGGCATAGACCAGGCAAAGGACAGTGCACTGGCTGGGAAAATTTGTTTCAGAAATACTTTGTGGGGCACGCAAGGGGGAACTACATAGTGACCTGGATGGAATGCCGAGTCATGAAGAGGAGGCTGTGGTTCTCAGAGGGAGATGGGCCTGGAAGTGAGAAAGGACAACGGGTATGGACACTGCCAGGGGAAGGCGGCACCTGGCAGAGTTAATCCCCAGGATGGCCAGGAGGAGGCACGATCAACGGTAAGTGGACCCCATGACAGTATCAAAGAAAAGTCAAGGATGCAAGAGTGAAGTTTATAAATAATATGGGGGAGGCAGTAACATAGGGTAGGAATAAATGATCAGTTTTCAGAATGGAGAGAGTAAATAGTGGTGTCCCCCCAGAGGTCTGTACTGGGACTAGTACAGTTCAACATATTCATAAATTATCTGGAAAAAGGGGTAAACAGTGAGGTGGCAAAATTTGCAGATGATATAAAACTATTCATGATAATTAAGTCCAAAACAGACTGCGAAGCATTACGAAGGAATCTCACAAAACTGGGTGACTGAGCAACAAAATGGCAGAGGAAATTCAATGTTGATAAATGCAAAGTAATGCATACTGGAAAACATAATCCCAACTAAACATATAAAATGATGGGGTCTAAATTAGCTGTCAACCTGTGGAACTCTTTTCCAGGGGATGTTTTGAAGACCAAGACTATAACAGGATTCAAAAAACAACTAGATAAATTCATGGAGGATAGGTCCATCAATGGCTATTAGCCAGGATGGGCAAGGATGGTGTCCCTAGCCTCTGTTTGCCAGAAACTGGGAATGGGCGACAAGGGATGGATCACTTGATGATTACCTGTTCTGTTCATTCCCTCTGGGACACCTGGCATTTGCCACTGTCGGAAGACAGGATACTGAGCTAGATGGACCTTTGGTCTGACCCAGTATGGCCGCTCTTATGAGACAGAAAAAGAGGACAAAGGAATACACAGACATTCAGTTCAAATGGGAAAATGAGCTGCAATGTACAAGATTCAATGGGGTAGGTCATGGGACAGGATGGAGGGTTCACTCCCTTTGTTTTCCTCAGTGTTTTCCACAGTGGCTCTGAGATTAGCTGAGAATGGACCCACAATAGCTGGCCACTGTGTTGAGCAGCAGTAGCAACTGGAAGCACAGCAGGGCACTGGCCCCTTCCACAACTAGTGCTGTTGGTGCAGAGTCACTGAGGTGGGATGGTGAGTCGACATGTTGGTCTCTGCCATCTCAACATGGTTAAGCGCTGCTGAGAGACTATGTTCTGAGCCAACTGTTGATGAAAATGATTGCCTTGAGATTTGTAAATTATCTTCCACTGTTATTGCTTCCGCACCATCAGCCATGACACTGGCACGAGTAAAAGAAAGCATCTCCCTTGTGCCTGCCATTTCTCTTGGCCCAGTTCTAGGTGTTCCTCTTTCATATCCAGGAGGAAATAGAGACTCTACTTATAAATTACCAGATCAGTCTCCACCCCCCGGGTATTTCCCCCAGAGGAGTGTTGGCCAGCTAAGAATCTCCATCCATCTTATGCCTCAGCTAGCTAAAGGGTCTAGTAAGATAGCAAGTTGTGGACTGGCAGAAGCTGCCAACACACGAAAACCAAACGAGCAATAAAGATCACTTGGGCAATCAGAAATGAACTGGCAATCACAGACATCAGGACACCGACAGGACATCAAAGAAGCCTCTAATCTTTTTGTTTTGGTCACAAGGCCAGTCAGTGATGCATTAAAAAAATATCTGTTTATTTCTGCTAATGTTGTCACTAGCTGCTCATTGCTAATGTGTCCAGACCAGCAATCTCCTGCATAAGTTTATGATGATGGTCTAGGCCACCTACTGAGTCATCTGCTGTTCTCCCTCAATTTAGCTAGATGGCCCTTCACAACTCTTTATGGTCAATTTGTCCTTGGAATGTACATGCAGGTCCCTCCGTCATCCTTGATCACATAATCCTCCGGGGCCTATCCATAGCACTGACACTGTCAGTTATTTTTCTCTGATCAGTGTTCAT